TTGGAGGGAAATTAAGAAAAAAAAATTACAAATATTCGTGGATGCCACCCTATTCTATTTTGTTCCACTTTAGTCATGATTTTGGAAGGAAAGTGCTCACATGGTATTGTTTAAAAAATAATTTTATAATATTAAAAATTAAAATAATAATAAATATTCTTTGTTAATATATAAATATATTTTAAATAAATTATTTATTTTCATCCATCCAAATAAATGAAAAGAATTTATTTTTTATTATTAAGAAGTATTTGAATAATCTTTCTCTCTCGGTTAACAAATACTTAAATAGGTAGACATTTTTTATTATCTTCAAATTTTTATATTCACAAGAGTCAAAATTGAATTCCTGGTTCCTTTTTCAATATTTCTCTTCCTTATTTATATCGATCCAAACATCACATATTTTTTTACTTTCATGGAAAAAAAAATCTTTTTGACTTTATTTTTTCTCTTTCTTTCTTATTTATTTTCTCTTTATTTCTTTTTCTTAATTAAACAGAGCCTAAACCAAAAGTTGCCAAAGATGAAACACGCGCGGCACCAAAAGAATAACGAGACATAAACAAAACGGTAACAAGGTGAACGAAGCTAGTATTTATAATTTTATATATATCTGGCACTCTGCCCCAAAACAAGTTAAAGTACTTCACTTCAAACTCAACTACATTAATGCCTCGAATACTGGAATTCATTCAGACACAAGTCGCAGCAGCATATATGTACGCACAATATTCATTCTTTATCCATTTTTTCAAAATACAAAGACCAGGAACTGAATTCAAAGACGAGACACAGCCAAAATTTGCTCACTATTATTATACCCCCCAACCCCAATGTTATTATTCTGACTCACTTGGCTAGACTTGTTGTTACTATTATTTTCTGAGACCACAAAAGCCTTAGCCATGACCCTCAATTCAAACTTCTGAATCTTCCCAGTTGAAGTCTTTGGCAGCTCCTCCATGAACTTGACCATCTTAGGCACCATAAAGTGAGGCAAATTCTTCCTACAATAGGCAATGATCTGAGCCTCAGTGACATCATTTTTTAAGCTGTGGTTGAGGTTGTTTTTCTTCAATGAAACAAAAACACAAGGACTCTCCCCCCACCTAGGGTGAGGCATTGCCACCACAGCAGCCTCCAACACCCTTGGATGCCTGTACAAAAGAGACTCAATCTCCACACTGCTTATGTTCTCCCCTCCTGAAATTATCACATCCTTTGACCTGTCCTTAATCTCCAAATACCCATCAGGGTGCACAACACCAACATCCCCAGTTTTAAACCAACCATTCCCAAAAGCCCTACTAGTTCCCACAGGGTCCTTAAAATACCCCATCATGATCCCACTTCCCTTCAACACAATCTCCCCCATGGTCTTCCCATCCCTTGGCACACTCTCCATTGTGTCAAGATTCTTCACATCAACATCAGCCATCGTCACCACACTCACCCCCTGGCGGGCCTTCAACTGGGCCTGCTCCTTCTTAGGAAGTCCGTTCCACATCTTCTGCCACTCACACACTAGGGCCGGGCCTGTGGCCTCGGTGAGCCCATATGCATGTGTCACATGAAACCCTAGTGACTCAATTTGTTCAAGCAAAGAAGCTGGAGGTGGTGCTCCCCCAGTGAGAATCTCAACCGTGTGTTTCAGCTCACGCCTCTCACTAGCCTTTGCCTCTAAAACTATGTTGAAGACAATTGGTGCACAACACATGTGTGTCACCTTGTGGAGTGCTATGTTCCTGTATATGTCACATGCCAAAGTGCTGCGGAGGCACACGTTTGTCCCGCCACGTGCGGCCACGCCCCACGTGAACGTCCACCCGTTACAGTGGAACATGGGGAGTGTCCAAAGATAAACGGGTTCACCACCCATTTCCCAACCTAGAATTAGGCTCAGGGTGCTCAGGTATGCTCCTCTGTGGCTATACACCACACCCTTTGGCTCTGAGGTTGTTCCTGAAGTGTAGTTTAGTGCAATTGGGGACCACTCGTCTTGGATTGTTTCAGGAACGTAATTTGGGTTACCATGATGGATCATTTGCTCGTATTCTAGCTCCCCTAGACGGATCCCTGTGGGGGAGTTTATGTCATCTATGACAATCACTAGAGGGAGAGAATGAGAAAATGTATTGTGTTGTTGATTTGTTGGGTTGTTCTTGTTGTTGTCCATGAGTAACCTGAGGGCGTCACGTGCCTTGGGGACAAACTCATAGTCCACGAAGAAGATTTTGGCTTCGGAGTGGCGAAGGATTGTGGCGATATTCTTGGCATCAAGACGGGTGTTTATGGTGTTCAGAACTGCTCCTGCCATGGGAACTGCAAAATGCATCTCATACATTGCTGGGATGTTAGGGGCCAGCACTGATACCTGTTGTGTAAAGCAAGAAAAGTAATCCAATTATTAGTATGCACCACTAATTAATCCTGCATATCTTATATGCATGCATGACTTTGTGCCAACACAGTACTGCAACTAAGCATAATTAGCCCCTCGTATGCTGAATTGGGACGAGAGGATAAAAAGAAAAGGTGAAAACTCTTTTATTTACTCAAATAAATAAAATAAGTTTTGTAGTGTCGGTTGATCTTGTGAAAAGGATGGAAAGCGAGTGAAACAGAAGTAACTGAAGACTGTCACATGGTGTTGTAGTTTAATGTTTAAATAATACTAAGAGTTGTCAAATGGTGTTTACTTTAATGTTTAAATAACGCTAATGTAAAGAAGTATTTTATTAAGTTAAAATAAGTTTTTTTTATAGATTAAAATGATTTTATACATAAGTTAATTTTATCTAAATTGAGGAATTTTGAAGTATGTGAAGTTTATTTAGATGAAAAAAGTTGTTGGACTTACAACATTATTTGTGGCAAGGTTGAGGGAGCGGAGGGAGTTGGCAAGGCGAAGACAACGGTCATAAGTTTGAGACCAAGTGAAACGGGTTCCTTCATGGATGACTGAGGTTCTGTTTGCATAGCATGCAGCAGCTCTCAGCAGAAACGTTAGAGGGGTGAGTGCGGTGTAGTTTGCTTGGCACTTTGGAAGGTTATCCATGTTAGAGAATCTAATCTAAGTGGATAGATATGACTCTCACCTGGTAATAATATAGAGAGGGAGAGGGAAAAGCTTGTGTTGAGTATAAGAATTATGAGAGTGAGGGTTGATTTGGTTCCTTTATATAGCAAAAGTGAATATGCTTTGGGATGGGATGGGACGGGAACGTTTGTTGAAGCCCACGTTTTTTTGGGAAGGGCGTGGGGCCCACATCGTCAGTAAGTAGAAGAAGAAGATGCAGTGAAGCTTGGCTGTGGAACTTAATATGGAGGCGAAGTTGCTTTGATACTCCCCAATAGTGTGAATCCTTTTTGCTTTTCATTGGTTGTTAATGTTTGTTATAGTTTTTGTCCATGATTAACTTTTTCTTTAAATTTTAGTTATTTATTGTTTCTGATACAGCCCAAAACATTAATTATTAAGTTTGTATAGGTTAGTTTGTACTTTTATATTCACATTTGTATTTTAGATCAGCTCTCATACCACTCGTTAAAAACATGAGTCAAATATTAGGAAGAAAATTAATAATAAGTCTCCTTTAATTAAAAAAACCATTGATAATGAGCTACAAAGCAAGCTAAATGCTTTGGTTGATTTAGAGAAAAAAAATTATCGTATAGTGACACACATTCTATAGTGATACAATAAGTGTTACTAAAAATTACTTTTACTTACATAATAATTAATATATACGTTAGTATATTGTTAAAAAGTATGAGTATAAACTATAGTGACACATAAAATATGTTGTTAAATCTCATTCAAAATCAATACTAAAATTATGTGTAATTATATGTCAAATAGATATATATTTATATTTATAGCGCCACTTTTTATATATTACTATATTAATATTTATTGTAGTGTAAAAGAAAGATAATAGAAAATAAGATGATTTTTTTTAAAATTGTGTGATTATGTAAAAAAGTGCTAGAAAAGAAAAAACAAGAAAAGAATTGTGTATATAAAGTGATTTAAATATTTCCAATAAGGTAAGAAGTTCTATAACAAATAATGGTATTTTTATTTATCTCCATATATAAGTTTTGCCTTATCTTTTTCTCTCCAAATTGAAAGGAAAGCATTTTTGAATGGGTCCTACATTTTGTCTTCTTTCCTTCCTTTTTTTCTTGTTCGCCAAAGGAGAGAAAAATTCTTGATAGATGTGTATTCTTTCAACTCCTTATTTTTCCGGTCTTTCTTATCTCTAAATATATTTTAAGTATTAGGTTTGCAAGAATTTTTCATTATTTATCGCTCAATTTGTCCTTCCTTATGTATTTAACGTGAAACTTCATATTCACACTTTTAGTCTAACAATTATCTTTAATAAAAATGTTCTTTTTAACTATGTTTTTTTCTTTATTGCATCTAATTAAAATACTCCAATTCTATATATACTTTGTTTTAAAAAAAAATCGAAATAGTTATCCTGGGAGTATGAACACGAAATTGTTGACAATTGACCCCATTCTTGAATACCATGCTTGCTGGTGTTTATATTTGTAAAATGATAGTTTCACACTGAATATTGAGCCTCCAGAGTACCCCACACACTAATTAGTTAGTGTCACATGAACCTGCCACGCTTAACATGAAAGCTCAGCGTGATTCATTAACGAAAATAATAATAATAATAATAATAATAATAATATTATTATTATTATTATTATTATTGAACAACCCACTAGATAAATGCTACTTTCCCTCTTCTAGCAACTAATTTATTGCAATATGCCACTTAACTATTAATAGTCATACTTTCAAATTCTTAAGTCACTTTCATAAGCTTTTCCTTTAGGAAAATCTAACTACTATATTTTCCTCTTAATGTTTCCTGCTCAATATTCAAAATATTCCTGTTATACCGGCTACATACAGATATTTAATATTGTATAATTCTGAACCCTTCAATTATTTTCTGAAAATTGATCCAGAAATAACCAGACTGTAGGCATTTCTGGAGTGTCGTCCCCTTATCTGTAATTCAGACCATTATAAATTATTTGAATTAGGCAAAGAAAAATAATAGGATATCTAATATATACTATGGGATATTTTTAAAACAAAATTTATTTGATGTTTGGATGTAAAAGGTTTAACAAAGTTGGGAGTTTTTTAATTAATGATGAGAAGAAAAAAAATGCTTGATTTCTTGTTTGAACACTAAAGACAGTACTGAAAAAGATGTCAGCCATATATTTGTTGATTTTTTTATCTTTCTATACATACGTGCAAAGGTATGGTTGTTAATTTGGACCGGGGCAGTGGGAAGGGAACTTGGAGGGTTATGGACCCCCCAAATATATTTAAAATACTATAAAATAACTTTATATCCTAATATTTATTAAAATAATTGTTACAAATCGATATACATAAAATATCATAGTAGTTGATACTTAAGAAAAAAAAACAGATAAAGATAAATTGTATATGTTAATATAGTGTATATATAATAATCCAAAGTCATTTTATCCTTCTAGTTTCTTTTTTTCTTTTATATCACCTATGGTCTTATATATATAAAATAAATAAATAATTCTTTAAAACCAATAAAAAATAGTTAAGGTAGTGTGATAAACAAATGGCAAAATTCGTTAATTTTAATTAATAGTAATATTATAAATTTAATTTTTAATCTAAAATATTTATATTTTTAAATGGTTCAATACTGATAATTTAATATCATTATGTGTATAATTAAAATATATTTTTTTACCTTTCACTTGCATAGGAAATGAATGAGTATCTCATTAGTAGACTTCACAGTTATTAAAAGAATAAAAAGTGTGTAATTAATGTATTTGAAAATGAATTTTTATTTTTTTATAATTATGACAAAAGAATATTGTAACAGTCTAACATGTTTTTATACTGCTATTCTAACATGTTTTTATACAGCTAGTCTAACATGTTTTTATACAGCTACTAACGTGTGTGTATCAAACAAATTTAGAAGAATTAACTAATTATACTACATTTCAACAAATCAATATGCAACAACCACTCTAGGCAACAACTCTCCTAACAAACAACACATCATGTGTGTGTTCAAAAGTATTAAACACGTATTATCTCAACATGAGAACACCCATATTTTTTCTCCGTACTTTATTCACTTTATCCACTTTTTTTCTTTATTTTATTTTAGTTCATTTCGTTTAAGTCAATAAATACAAGTTATAAATTAAAAAAAATTATGCTTTAAATTTAAAGTTTTATTTTGAGTGTTATTAATTTTTAAGTAACTTTTTGGCATAAAAACTAAATTAAATATAATCTTAGTATACCGAAGCTACATGTCTTAATGTCTTAAACAGTGTACACTTAAACAACATCAATGAAATTTTTCATATTTTCCTCTATTTCTTTTTAAATTTTCCTCTAGGTTTCAACATATCTTTTTTTTTTTTTTTTTTTCCCACAAATCTTTCTGGGTATGGCTACAACAACTTCGTTGTTAACAATGAAAACTAATCCACCAGAATCTGTTTAATGTTGGGAATTTTTAGGTAGTAAAGACAAGATTTTAAATTTTAATTTAGTTGTCATTATTGTAAAAACAAAAAAAAAAAACAAATTAAATCGAAGAAAGCATTATATAAGTTTCCACCTAAGTGAAGCTTCAAACTTTGCCTTTTGTAGTCGTCGTTCCAACCTTAAGTCTTTCAGTGTCTTGGTCTAGTCTTGTTGAATATTATCCCATTCCACAATTCAACTAAAATAAATTGAATTCCAAAGTTCATACGAAAACATTTCTAGGAAATTGTCGTGATTGCAAATGCAGAACAGCGAGTGGCCCTCATGAAAAGTTATCAATTCTTTAACTTTTGCCCTAATCTTGTTGAATTTCGACTATGACTATCGTGACAATTCTAGGCAAAACCCGTTAATAGATGGAAATTCTCTTCGTCTTGTTCTGCTTAATGGACAGCATCTTAGAACGACCATATGGAAAAAAATATTAGGAAAGTTATATGTCAAGCATTTTAAAAATATTTGGGTGGAATTTCAAGTAATGGTGGTTAATCTAGGTTGAGGAAAATTGTTCGTAATTTCCAAAATCTAGAAGGGGCAAATTTTTCCATGGAAATTATAATGTTTAGTCTTTTCTTTTCTTTTGTTTTCTTTGTATTGTTTCTTTTCTTTACTTTTCCTATAATGTTTTTCTCCCCTTTTCCACTACCCTTTCACTCTTTTAATTAATTTAGTTCATTCACCTAAACTTGTTTTTATTCGTTTGGTGGCAGTTGCAGAAGTTTGAATCTCATGTGATGAGAGAGATACCATGAAATATTTAAGTTGGAATTGATTGATTTCACATCCAAAGGATGTGAAAAACCCTAAGAAAAAAAATTAAAGTTTAAAATGTCAATGCAATCTAGGACGCACAAATTTAAAAGAAGTGTACTGATAAACATTATTTGTTTATAAATAAATAAGAGGTTACGATGATTTATCATCAGAAACAAATTAAATAAATCTCTTTGATTTAATAACTTAATGATTTTTATTCTTTAAACTTAATTGAGATTTTGGAAACATGTGAATAAAAAACAGCACCAAATTAAATAGTCAATTAGAAATTTTAATTTATTTATAGATTAATTTCATGTATTTTATCTCCTTGTACTTAATTATCACTGTTGATACTAGATAGTGTCAGTTTTATTAGATAAATAGGCGACATCTTGATAAGTTTAGGTGTGGTAACTCTTTCTTACTTGTCTTTAAACTATTAAATTGACTCTAATAATAAAGTTAGAATAATATGTGTAAGATTTTAAGTACAAACTCCGACATTATTTTTATAATTACTATAAATAAATAAAAAATTAACTCTGATACCTTCAATATTTAATTCTTACGGAACATAATCAAATATTCATTTTGGATTATGAAATTATCTTGAATTTAATTATCATTAGAAACTAAATTATAGGATAAAATTTTGCATGTTTATCAATTAAGTATACGTATTAGCCTTGTAATAAGAATGTACCTGTGAGACTCGAGCCTCTCTTCTCTTATCTTTTCCTCTCTTCCACTCACTCTACTCCTTCATTCTCACTTTTCTCATTTTCTGCATTTCGTAAAAGGCTGAGCATTTTGGG